GTTATGGGGTCTGCTTACTCCGTTTTGCTTTAGGACTCCACCCAGATTCGCACAGTGACAAGTAATCTATGCAGAGGAGACTACCGACAAGGACAAGGGAGACTGGAATAACCATTTCAGACTTATTAGTCATCATCAGATAGTCCTACGCAACCGCAGGTGTAGGGGGCACCCGAGGTTCTTTTAGTTAGCAGGTCCAACTACGGGCTACGGGCTCCTTGTCCTCTTGGTTCTGATCTGGTATATCAACCATGGTAGAAGGACGTACATCGATCAGGTTATCGTGAAAACTACAAAGGATCACTAAAGTTGCTCAAGAATAGGCACAAATAGGCATGAAATAAACATCATCGAACATTTAACAGGTCGTCATATATTCACTGGCCTCTCGTGACGCTACTCCAAGGAAAGTTAGCTGACACGATATTGGTCGCCTGACCGTCCGGGGATCAATGACAGACTCAGGTAGGTGTAGAGTAAACAAGACATCCAGGCAAAAATAGCCTCCGAGTGCCCGTATTTCAGGGCAATTTTGCCACACACATACACACAATCGGGCAGGCTGGTCAGATGATCAACAGCACAATCCCCGTTAAGTAACCACTGGAGGATACCCACCCCATGCTGCGAACTGGTCCCTGTTGGGAGTGCCAACAATCCCAAAAACAAGAGCCAACCAATCATTGGAGACCACGTGTGTTTGCTCTCTCTACGGCGCTGTCGTCTTAATTGTGGCGCCTCTCCATTGGCTACTCCCCTCTACCCGAAGGTCATTGGGCAGAATGCCGGCGAACCACAGTAGGGTGTTATAAATATGCGTCACCTTTCAGCTAGTCGCGACTTGCGGTTTTCCTAATACACTTTCCGTGGCTGGTCGTGTTTTCCTTGTCTGCCGCCTTGGTATTGCTGACAAGGGTCGAGTGCGTATACGCCCCACGGGCTTTCAAGTGCCAGGCCGGGTCATAGTAGTCCCAGCCGTCCAATCGTGTTCATGACTCTCCAAATAACAGCAAGCCGTCTGCAGCCTGGGACAAACGGCGCAAATATCCTCCCAAATGTGATTTTCTCGATGGAATTTAACGTGAGTAATGTATTGAAACATTTGCGGAGGGAGTTTTAAGTCTCGCATTGCAAATTTCTGAAGTAATCATCCTGCTCCAGGGTTTACAATGCATATAGCGGAACTGAGCATGAGAATCACTGACGGTGGGAAACATCTAAGTCGGCCTTCGAGAGGAGCTCCGTCGAAGTGGTTCGCCACTGCGGCTTATAATTTGCTAAGGGCATATTTGTAGGTAGATTGCCCTGAGTGTGAGTGGAAAGACTCGACTGTTGCCAATAGAAGCGAAGAGACGAGTCCCAGGAAGCAGTCTTGAAGAAGGAGGCACGATCGCTGGGACAAGAGCTTTATTAGCCTGATGTTTCGGATTCCTGCTCGAAACCATCATCAGAGACAAAAGCAGATACGGGTGGTTCATGCACAAGGGGATGCAATATTTATAGGATGCAGTCGCCATGCTACCGCATACCTATGAATATTCACGGCTCCCACCCCCTTCATCAGGGATCGTTGCACGTGATGTGATGGCCGACATTCGCGTCGTTAATTGCTGCAATTTCATCACGTGCGTTGGATGTTGGTGTGATGATTGATCGACCATCTGATTCACCGACCCCGGCGTTGCGAAAAGTGTCCACCTGTGCGCTACCCGCGTGTCTTATTACTCCGCCTAGGCGAAGTCTCAGCACTGAATATGGAAGGGGAAGGTCATTGCACTTGTTAATGGACTGGGGGGCAGTAAACCATGACTCATGCAGCTCCCCGCTCACGCGGTTGTCACCTCTTGCGAGAACTTCGACCTCGTCGAATGAGCCGTCACCCGAAAGATGGCGTCATTGCCAATAGAAGCGATGGCGTCATTGCCAATAGAAGCGATGGCGTCATTCCTCTGCCCTGCCACAGCGTGTTCGGCCATTCGCGTGAACGCATTTGTAGGTAGATCGCCCTGAGTGAGAGTAGAAGGAATCGACCGTCATTGAGGTGGAGTTCACTGCAGTCTTGGAAATTTTCCACGCGTGGTGGGGACGGTAGCCCACGGACTGGCAAACTCCAATTCCTTGCACAGCACAGGCCCCACACCGACTCCAGCCAATGGTTCAAAGGTCCTTGTGGATGTGAGCCCACGGAAACAAGGCACTATACTTGAACACATTTCAGGAGTAACCATCCAACTCAAACCACTCTAGAACCGCCAGTTCAAGTGTTGAAAGATGATGTGCCTCGTATTCCTCATAGGGAAGGACTGAATTGAGGGATACACGCAGCTTCCGGAGGCTTGGTAAATACAAGTAAAATTACATAAGAGGACAGTTACTTTTCTTTAATAAATAAGCAAACATCAATAAGGGCAAGCTGACAGGTGTTTCTGGGATGATGAAGCACCGAAAAGTAGCAATTGTGGCACCAGTCTTGCGCGCATCTTGTATCATGGGTGGAAGCGTGTCTACTTCAGTGGGGAACTTGATTGGTCGATTCACCTGACTGTGATTGGCCAATTTCGCTAAACGTGATTCGTCAGTTTGTCTGATTATGATTGATCGGACAGCATACGGTACCTCACAGAGCCAGAAGCTGATCTGACGTGTTGAGGAACGTCATACAATGCTTCATGGTGTAAGCCAAGTCCACGGACGTTGGTGCGTACACGTGATCAAGCGCAAGACTGATTGGCAGTGTGGTAGAAAACCCTGGGAGTGAGGTAAGTTAAGGCGCAGAGTGACTGTTTGTTTGCTTTGTGTGGTGAAAGCACCACACATCGGATCCGACCTAGATAAACCTCATTCTCCCACTCCTCCCCCATATCAATGACAGATCTGTTTCCAGCCGCCAGGTTTCCCTTCCTCAGAGTTTGATTTGACTGAAGGTGGAGCTTCCATAAAGGCCATATCAAGACAAACACAACACTGTGCGATCACCATTCGGAAGGAGAATCAAGTTATCTCGTCAGGGAACAAACTTGCAGTGGCCGAATTTTGAAAGTTAAACGCTTCCACAGCCCCACATTTGGAAGATATTCGTCCTTCGGCATGCCTCGAGATGAACCCAGTTTACCTTCTTCCCGGGTGCCCCTTCTGTAGCGGCTTTGGTGATTGGTGCATCGTTTGCCCCAAAAACGGGCTACGCAGACCATCACGGAGACCACATCAGATTATGACAGGCATTATCGATTCCCTAACCATTACGAATTTCAGGCCCGGTCTCGAAGAGAGAGAGAAGTTCGGACGCAAGTAGATAGCGCAGAATGATTGCAGAACAGGTTGGAACAAGTTGGCTTTGAAGTTGGTTGGCGATCTGGATAGTTGTGATTGGTCGAGAACAAGACGGGCGCCGGTACGTACGACAAAGTACAGTCAGTGACCGATCTCACGAAATGTTGACCGAAATTTTGAAATGCATATTCGATCATAAAGGATTACTCCGGTGTAGTTGTAATATTGATTGCTTTGCGCCATAATGCAGCGATATCCCCGGCATGCCAGGATGTTGGCCTTTACATTAACTCCTTTTCGGCCACCTGTTATGACTGAACTCGGCAAAAATGACTACTTGAACAGTAATTATTTGTTATTGATTTCCGATGCCCTTCTGAATTAAAATATATTTTGCGGAAAACTGCCATAAAAATATTCGTTCGTGTACTCATTTGGTAAAAAATCACGTCTTCTTCAAATTTTATACTCAAATAAAGGGTATCTTCTGGTTTTAAAAAAGTTTCTCAATTCCAGAATAATTTGAGCTCGATCTGCCGTTGCAATGGCGTCTACGGTTTCTAGTCTACTAGCCGTATGCTTCCTGCTCACTCATGACGAATGCCAATACTCGGGTGCGGCGACATGTCCCGTTGCAGGCCCAGGGCGCGCCATTTTCGATGAATGTTTATTGTGGGTGAGATGGTACGCCTAGGCGCGGGTTCACGCTGCGCCAACCACCTGCGGCCTCTCCCGCCTTTGGTCTTCTTGACTTGGTCATGCGGTATATTCTGCGCAAGTCTGCCATCCCTACAAACTAATTCGCGCGCAATTCACGTCCCTGCCCTCGCCTTACTGAGGATCGCACGGTGGACATCGTCGAAATTGACAGTCGAACTGTCGGGTACATCGTAGCTACCACAATAATCATGACCCGGTCGCGTTTTCGATCAGAAGTACTCGACACGGAGATTCGGTGATTGCCAGAGACGTTCGGTTATTGGGTGCTCATGGTGTTTCGGTTGGCCTGTTACTGACTGTCCTCGACAACGGATGTTTGTATGTTCCAGGCCCACAAGAACAGTGATCATGGAATTTCTAGCACGGCGTAGGTGCCAGAGGCAGGCAGCTTATAGGCGCTTGAGGTGCTGCATGAACTCGCCGGGTAGTATACCGACCGAAATTGTCAGGCCTTAAATCCACTGGCGGGCCTGAAGGTCGTGATAACCAGGGTAACGCACTCGGCTTAGACTCCTGTGATACACTTGCTTCATTAGATATTTCAGAGGAGTTGCTTATTGGTTGTTTTAAAGATCGACCGGCCCTGAAGCAAATTGTGAGTCTTTGCGGTCAGTGTACGTTATGTGGTGGGCAACTCTGTAAAAGTTTTCGGTGGCGAGGTCCTTAGAATAGATACGGTTTCGGCTGCTGACCTGCAATCATTTATGTAGGTGCCTTGAAGTTCACCGAGACTACCGTATTTGAATATTGATTATTCCTGTAACGTTTGTTCGGACTTGGAAACACTTCTCTGTCGTTAAGTAAAGTTTAATTGTGATTGGATGGATGGGAATAGTTCGTCCCGAAGGTTGGAAATAATTCACTGGTTGCTTATTGGTGGCTTTACAGTTGATCATCTGTCTGAAATTGCCGACTGTGTGCAGACATCTAAACCAGTTTCCCCGGAAGTCGGCACTAACCGCGATCATTTGTTCTTTTTTTCCATTGGACTTGCTGCGCCAGTTTGTCTGTAGCGCCGGAGGTGGTGGTGGTGGTGGTGGTGGTGGTGGTGGTGGTGGTGGTGGTGGTGGTGGTGGTGGTGGTGGTGGTGGTGGTGGTGGTGGTGCCCACACTGTCCCCGCACATTCGCCTCCCGCATCGGCCTAGTCGGTCACTTGCGCATCCATCGCACAGAGACTGGCGAACCAGTGCCTGGAGCATCCACATACACTCGCCACATACGCCTCAACTGCCCTCACCGCACCCGCACGCTCACCCACCGTATGGACCTATTAAGCCACATACGGGTTCATGAAAACCTGCAGTAGACAGCCGCCAGCTAAACTTCACCACCACATCTTCCCTCAATTTCGGCACACAACATCATAACCCAACTGTCACCTCCCACATAAGTGCGAAGTATGCGTCTCGGCTCCGTCTCCATGCGGCTCCTCTGCTGCCTGTGTGATTCGAGTCTGAGACTATCATGGTGCGTCCAACACCGTGGCTTGGAAAACTGCTGAGCAACGCCCCAACTCACTTTACGCAGCCTACCCAGTTGTGTGTGTATGTGTGGAGTGCCGGACCGGTGGGCTGAGAGCCAGGCTGTAGCGGTCCCTTCTCAACGTGACCTACGGCACTCTTAGGCATGTGAGATGTACGCTGCCCAACCCCCGTTGTGTGAAATCCTGGTACTTGTGTTTGGGGGGCCAGGTCGTGCATGTGGCACGCGCAGACAAAGTCACTAGACTAGTTTACCCACCGCGCCCATTCGCTGCTTCAGTCACCTCATGGGCTCGGACAGAGGCTGGGGCCTGGGGATGGGAAAGGAGAGTGAGGTCGACGACTCAGCGCATTTTCCTCCTCAGTATAAACAATCTGACTCGCTTGAAGCTATCACAGTGCGTAAAAGACGTGGCTTGGAACGTTGCCAACTGAGGGGATAACTTGAACCTCGCAGTCGGCCCACTGTTGTGTGTGTTTTCTTGGAGTGGCCGACTTGTGGTCTTAGAGTCAGGCTGCAATGGCTCCTTCTTAATGTGGCCTTTATGACACTCCCACTGTGTGGGATCCGAGCCAGGTGTGACGGCATGCCTAGCTGCTGCTCCGGTCGTGTCAACCACTTCTGTTATTGTTGGTTAAAATCCTGGTCATTCGCTGTGTGGAGCAGGGGGTGTGGAATGGAACGCCAAGATGCGGGCTCGACCGCATCATCCACCTGCGCCCCCCGCCTCCGGTATTCTTGACTCTGTCTTGACACCGGGTCCAGGTGGAGGAGGGAGGAGGTGAGAGTGCGTTAAATGCAGTGTAAGTCTGCTATTGCTATAGACTAATTCACGCGCAAGCCACCGTCCCTGCCTCACCTTGCTGTGGAGCACATGATGGACATCGTCGGCAATGGCGGTCGGCCTATCGGCGGTGACGGTGGTGATGTACTCTGTATGGTAACTATGCTGCCCAGATGAAATTTACCTCCTCCAGTTATCTACCACACTTAACGCGCGTTTTGGTGTTTTGCTTTCGTCTGTCTCTTGTCAGCCAGCCTATGCGACACATGTTAGCTGCTGCGGCTAGTCTGAACAGGCTCCGACAATCGACAGGTTCATCATAGGGGAAGAAACAGCGAGTCTGACTCTGGGAAACTCATCTTCACGACAAATCGGCGTTTTCCTCACTGAAGTATATATTGCAACACGCTAGAAGTCGTGGTCTGAAAGGTTGCCAACTGGCGGTATAACTCTACCCTTATGTGGGAGTCAGCCTTGATCTGAACTTTATGGCAGTCCCATACCCATGAAATCCTAGTTGTCCCCTGTAATTACCGAATTCATTTTGTCGTAACCATCTCGTCTGTGGCACGCGCAGAGAAGCTGTGTAACCAATGAGCGTGGGCCAAAATTTCGGCGTCTTGACAGTGCCTTCTAGCGGAACCCTGTGAATGAGGCAGGGAGGAGTTCGCAGGTCAGCCTCCTGCATCCACTACGCTGTTGAGCTCACAGTGGACGTCGTCGTCCGTGATGGTCGAACTGTCACATCACCTTAGGGACATTTGAATTGCAGTTAAGTCAGAATATACGAAACGCATCTTCAACAGGAGTTTGGACAGATTTAAATAAAGAAAGCCATTTGGCGAGCATACGCGTGCTTTTGCTAAATGCTCATCGGGCCTATACATGTATGTGGGAACGAGGTACCAACTGAAACGTGCGGGCGATAAGAGCAATTGATTATGGTTCGCATTTTAATACAAAGAGGGTGTACGAATAGAAGAACAAAGGGAGAGGGGAGAAGGCAGTAAGTGACAGTGAGGGTGAGGCAGAGAGGGGTCACAAGGTGGGGAGGAAGGCGGCATGGCATCATGCATACAGTTAATCAATCCTTGCCCACGGCAGACGCGGGCATGCGAAAGGTTATCCTGCGCGCACAGGATCGACCTCGGTAGCCCGATGGCAGTCACTTCTGCTGTTGTTAGTAGGCGCTGACCCAGTCGCTTAGGGTAGGTAGGTGGGACCTTGTAAATCACACGGAAGGCTTCGTTGGAGTCCACATAGTGACCCGAATCAACCATGTGTGCGAGGATAGAGCTGTGTATGCTCTTAATTTCCCCTTTCCTCAGCCACGTCGACAGGTGTTAACGTATTCCTGTGGAAAGGCGCCGACTCGTACGACCAATGTAGCCTGCTCCACAGGAGCAAGTAAAGGAGTAAATGCACATGGAGATGGTGTGGGCTGGGTAGTCTATTCTTAACTTCCCTGTGTAAGACGGGGTTGGTCGAAAACAAGGCTTGAAGTCTTGCTGCCGGGAAGGTCCGCGAAAAGGCTTGGTTAAGGCGCCTTCTCAGGAGTTCACTCACTGTAAGAGGACGTTGAGGAAGAGAGTTTTCTTTTCCGCCGTCGGTATGATTTAAGTAATTCATTTGACCCATTTGTGAAAAATTCTGCGGCCTAGGTGGGAATCGATCTCACGACAGCAATGTCGAGACGTGAATGCAGCGAGCGCTCAAACCACCTGAACTACGATGCACCGCTCGAGAGTTTACTTACATCGGAGCCATGTTACCCGCCGTCGTTACCCTACAGTTCTGGGTTCGAATCCAACCGACGTCGCCGAGTTTTCCACAGTTGGGTCAGACGAAATCCATTTTTGTCTCACTGGACCACCAGCAACCATTCGACCTGTAAATTTTCCTCCAGACAAACTGTACTTCAGGAGTGGGAGCTATAGGAACTATTTGTGTGGTTGAGGAAAGCAAACAGTAACGCCTAAGTCCACGAAAGAGGGTGTCCGCGGCATATGGAAAGCACCAGTCAGACTGGTGACGCTATTTTATGTCCAAGGCTGCTCACTAACTAAATGTAATGTGCTCACGCAACTGATCAGTATCTATCAAAGACCAATACCAAAAGGGACATATCCAGATGTACAATAGCGCCATCTCTCACATATGCACAGGCCATAAAACTACTGATACGGTTATAAGATAAAAAGAACCCTACTAGCAACAACCAGTACTATGGTCCTAACGTAACGTAACGTTCAACGTAAACAAGTGTAGCTTCCTACGTGTCGGCGGAACCAGTTCTCTTAATTGTACGATCTACCGTCTGACTGGCAAACCACTGCAAGAAGTCGACGCCCAGAAGGACTTGGGTGTATAGATCACAACCTCACTTAAGCCTTCGCTGCGATGCTCAAAGGTAGTCAAGTCGGCGATGTCCATTCTATACCTCGTCAAACGGGCGTTCACCTCCTTTGATGATGGCTGCTTCGCCTAGGTCTTTCGAACTTTTGTGTGACCGCATCTGGAGTTTGCTATCCAAGCATGGAAACCCCGGACCGCTAAAGACTTGGGCATACTCGAAAAAGTTCAACGGCGAGCAACGAAACTTGTATCTGGGCAGTGGTCACAACCCTACGAAACACCATTAGCTAATCTTGAGCTCTTTCCTTTGAGTTACAGACAGCTATGTGGGGACCTGATACAAGCTTTCCACATCATGCGCAATCAGGGCTGCTGTCACGCATTTGGAGTTTTCTTCAAGTTGGCGACTACGACCAACCTGAGAGGCCATCCACTCAAACTACGTGTAACTGGAGCCCCGCTAGACACACGAAAGTTCTTCTTCTCCAACAGAGTGGTTGCAGCTTGGAATGCCTTGCCTGAGGATGTTGTTATGTCGGGATCCGTATACACTTCTAAACGGAGGCTAGATCAACACTGGAGCGCGCACCACAATAACGCAGGACTACAACAACCTTGATAGCCAACGTTGATAATTTAGTGTTATGACGATGCGACTACCGACCTTCAAGTAGCATATGTTCATGTAATTTACTAATTTTGAACCACGTCGCATACCGCTGTTCGCATTCACCACGATGCCTGAAGACTAAAATTTTTTTACCTCTTTTCCTGTATCTTAGGTTTGCTTCAACTGTCTGCTGCATTTAATCAACAAACCGAGTTCATATACCTTTGAATGCTGTTAACGCATGAGATTTTGTGTTCATATGTACAGCTTTTGTTAGTCCCCTTGTATTTCTTTAGTGTTACTTCCTTCCCCTTTTCTCCATATACTTCCTCTGAATGAAACCAATAGGGATTTCAAAGTTACACACCTACTTTCCCTGAAATACACTGATACTGATGCTGATACTAATCTAATAAGACCGTCACTCCGGACAGCGGATGACAGTAAGTGGGCTGGAAGCGTGTGGACGCAAGATCGATTCTACATTCCATGTGAAGCACTAAAGCCAATGGCGTGACGTAAGCTATCATGAACGCATACGGGAATGCGGATGCTTGGAAGTACGCCGACGCGTGCTACAACCAAAAAACGCAAACTCTTATATTCTTAATTCATCCTACCGAAAGGAAATCGGTAGTAAATACAAATGCACTAACCCAAAGCAACAATGATACGCTCATCCTGTTATATTCCCCCGGACGTCATCCCTAATGGCAAGCGAGCTAGCGTACTCTAGGGGGGTAGTGGGTCTTTAGCCAGCTCGCGATTTGATTGGTTCCCGGGTCGGCTACGTCGGCGTCGCGAAGGCCGCAAGCGGCCGCGTATTCTTGCACTTGATTATCGATTAGCTTCGGCACCCGATAGGCCTCACGCTCGCCCCGGTGCCACTTTTTGCCTTTTCACGCTGCGGTGCGCACGCCGTGCATGCCTCAACGCTCTCATTGCCTACCTGACCCCTATTCGCCTTTCTGTTCGACCTTATTGCCTTTCACTGACAAGTATGTTGGCAGGCGTAATATCCGGCGTCAAGCGTGTAGGGAAACAGAAAAAAGAAGAATCAGCGAAGAGGCGAGGGAAATGTCGTTGCCGGACACCTCATCTTGCAGTTAGTCGGACAGCTTCACGGACGAATCTGACTCCGCAACTTCGTTCGAGTACGAACACTCTTCTACGTTGGTGACTCCCTGAGCGTCCACGTACGAAGAAGATGATTCAACGCCAGAAGTAGAGGAGGAGGAGGAGTCAAGCGCACGCGAATGTCTGCGCAAGCGGACTTTACGCTCAAAAACTCCGCATTTCCACTTGAACGACCTACTAAAGGCTTTGAGACCGTGGTTGCCGGACCTACCTGCTGACGCACAAACGCTGTTGGGCGCGACATACATCTCCGCACCGATCACGGCAATGGTCAAGTGGTGAGTACGTGCATTTGGGACTTGAAGCTCAGCTGAACGCCCAGTTGCCTAATCTAGCTCTTTCTCGTTTAGTAGAAGTGGTTATATGCCTAGCAATAGACCCTGCCAGCACCAGCCCTTCATGGCCCCGCCTCATGAGGGGAGCAAATCCCCGATGTGGCCCCCTCTGGCGCTCTCATCGAAAAAATGCGCAGGGGACGCCTTATAATTGTCGTTTTTTGCCCCCGCCCCTGGCCATATTAGACTGTCTGACGATAATGCGGATCCCTAAACGTCTTATTACTCGCGTTATAATCCTGATCACCCTTTTCTTAGACAAATTTTCCCCGTTATCTGTCCTATATTATCCCTTGATGCCTTCTTGCGAACCCCATATCGCCAAATATGTCTTGTTTCATTCCAGTCCCCCTTCTCAAAGCCAATTTCCCCCGCGATCGTTAGCGGACCTTCAAGCGTGATTGCGAACCCCCCAACGAACCATATCGATCAGCACACTTGAACGCCATTTATAGGTTAAAGAAAATTTATTGATCGATAAAGATAAAAATTTGATATGTACAAACTGTCATGTTTCCTCAAGGGACATATTTGGTAATTCGTCCATGTCGGTGGCGGGTATCTACAATAAAATAAAGCACAGCGTCCTATTAATTAAATTGTCAAAAAACATACTATTGAAATAAGGCATTTTAGTAGTATATTTTATGATCTAGAGTAGTTTGAAGTTGGTAGGCTCGAATAAATGCAGGTTTAATAGATATAAAGAAACGCTCACTTACAGTGTCCTCGGAAGTAGATTGTATCATATATTCTTCGGCTGAGCTGTAGCTGACGGGAAGCTGAAAGTGGCTTATAAAGACTCAAGTCAATTAATTTACCGTGGTATTGTCTCTACGCTTTGATCGGCCACCGTATCTGTCACGCGCGCCGTGGAACCAATCAATTGTACTCTTGCGAATTGTGTCAACGGTGCAATTTGAGAAGGCGGCGTGTTCACGAATTGCAGCTGAACAAGTAATCTTAAAAAAAATATCCTACCAATAACAAGGCCATAAAGGGGGCTGCCGACGAAGGCCTGCTTATCTCTTGCTCCGCCCCAGCAGAAACTGAGGCATAGGGGGTGGCCGAGTAGAGTGGTCAGTAGATTTCTGACAAACTCTTTCTCGTTTCGCCCGTCTGTAATCGCCAGACGTTTAATCTACAATCCATTCAAATAAAGAAGTGTCAGTATATGTACATACCGCGTCTTGAGCGAAACCAGCATTGTCCTCAAGCTCACTGACGAATGCCTTCGTACACAGAGGCAAATTCAGTGAAGGCGGCCTCGCTTCAGCTGGCTGACGTAATTCCTGAATGGCCTTTAAAATTTCGGCCATTGTAGCTTTAACCTGCGTTATATCAGCCCGTAGTTCGACGATTTCCTCAGCAACGTAATCAACTTTCTTTCTACTCGCATGTCATCAAGAGTCAGAGCAGTCCTACGTAGCTGCGCAAATACCGAGACAAGATAATCAATTAACTGCCTGGCCCACGCCGCCACGCATTCTCCAGTAAGAATCCGTGTATATTATGCCAACTTTTAGACCACGCAATAGCTCGGAAAATACACCTTGGTGGAGAGACTCAAGCCAACCCACGCCACCAAGGGCTAATCAGTACGCCGTTTCTTTTAAGTTTACTTAAGGCTGCCCCGGGAACCCAGCACGACCGCGTTTGACAAACGGTTATCACAGGTGCAGCACGATGTTGAATGCGTCCAGTAAGACTGTTCTGACTCTTGATGACATGCGAGTAGAAAGAAAGTTGATTACGTTGCTGAGGAACTCGTCGAACTACGGGCTGACATAACGCAGGTTAAGGCTACAATGGCCGAAATTTTAAAGGCCATTCAGGAATTACGTCTGCCAGCTGAAGCGAGGCCGCCTTCACTGAATTTGCCTCTGTGTACGAAGGAGGCTTACAAGGCTTTCGTCAGTGAGCTTGAGAAGAATGCTAGTTTCGCTCAAGACGCGGTATGTACATATACTGACACTTCTTTATTTGAAAGGATTGTAGATTAAACGTCTGGCGATTACAGACGGGCGAAACGAGAAAGAGTTTGTCAGAAATCTACTAACCACTCTACTCGGCCACCCCCTATGCCTCAGTTTCTGCTGGGGCGGAGCAAGAGATAAGCAGGCCTTCGTCGGCAGCCCCCTTTATGGCCTTGTTATTGGTAGGATATTTATTTTTAAGTTTACTTGTTCAGCTGCAATTCGTGAAAACGCCGCCTTCTCAAATTGCACCGCAGACACAATTCGCAAGAGCACAGTTGATTGGTTCCACGGTGCGCGTGACAGATACGGTGGCCGATCAAAGCGTAGAGACAATACCACGGTAAATTAATTGACTTGAGTCTTTATAAGCCACTTTCAGCTTCCCGTCAGCTACAGCTCAGCCGAAGAATATATGATACAATCTACTTCCGAGGACACTGTAAGTGAGCGTTTCTTTATATCTATTAAACCTGCATTTATTCGAGCCTATCAACTTCAAACTACTCTAGATCATAAAATATACTACTTAAATGCCTTATTTCAATAGTATGTTTTTGACAATTTAATTAATAGGACGCTGTGCTTTATTTTATTGTTGATACCCGCCACCGACATGGACGGATTACCAAATATGTCCCTTGAGGAACCATGACAGTTTGTACATATCAAATTTTTATCTTTATCGATCAATAAATTTGCCTCAAGCTATAAATGGCGTTCAAGTGTGCTGATCGATATGGTTCGTTGGGGGGTTCGCAATCACGCGTGAAGGTCCGCTAACGGTCGCGGGAGATATTGGCTAGCACCAGCCCCGTCATGGCCCCGCCTCATGAGGGGGCTATGACGGGGCAAATCCCCGATGTGGCCCCCTCATCGAAAAAAAATGCGCAGGGGGACGCCTTATAATTGTCGTTTTTTGCCCCCACCCCTGGCCATATTAGACTGTCTGACGGTAATGCGGATCCCTAAACGTCTTATTACTCGCGTTATAATCCTGATCACCCTTTTCTTAGACAAATTTTCCCCGGTATCTGTCCTATATTATCCCATTCAACATCGTGCTGCACCTGTGCTAACTGTGAAGACTGTGCTTAAAATTGGCTCCACAATTCTGCCTAAAATAGGCCAAAACTCACGCTTAGTCTTCCTATGAATTTGAAGACCATCTATTGCTAGGCATATAAGTACTTCTTCTACTGAAGGGGGCAGAGCCAGGGTACGCAACTGGGCGTTCAGCTGAGCTTCAATTCCCAAATGCATGTACTCACCAATGCCATTACTATGAGCCAACCAAGTCGCAGAAATCCTCCACGTGAACGCAGGTCTGCGCTGGAAGAGGCGTTGTATAATTTCAACGGAGAAGGCATATCTTCGCCTGTAAGTTATATGACTTGACGCTGGTCTGATCCCTAGGAAGTAAACGACAGCCAATATGACATGGAGGACCCAATGACACCATTCCCTCAAGGGAGCCCATGCGAGTCGAGAGTAGTAAAACTTCTCTCTACTGACCTATCTCATAGAGTGGCACGAAACAATGCCCACTGACAGGTTTGCGAATTTGGACATGGCCGTAGCCCTGCTCATTCAACACAGCGCCAAATTGTTAAAAAAGCTGGACGTTATCCTAGGTAGTAACCGTCGCTTACGCGGCCGACTACGGGAATTGGAGGCAAAGGTAAATCAAAGGCCACCTGCGCAAGGAGCATTACCGCTGCCACAAAAACCAATCAAAAGGCCTATGCGGACGGCAGCGGACTTCCACCAGCTAAACGCACTATTGGATGATACAGGAATAAGAAGTCAACTTGTAGACTGTCCCTATACAAAACATACGGTGTCCTTCCTCATCTGTCTAGGTGGCAATAACCTGGACGACTTCGTTAAGCGCGTCTTCTTTGCGTTATTTGAAGACGAAATTTCCTTTCACGTGAACTTCAAGGGCCGGAAACTGAAAGACAGTCTCAGTAATTCAGCAGTGTACAAAGTCATTTTGAGTAAGTTTGCAATTAAGCGTCTGCTATCTACATTTGTAGACATTTTCGCTGGCTGGGACGAAAATTGCGCAACCACATTGTCGGACCTTGAGACTGTGTTCGCTAAAAGACTGAAGAGGTCCCTAGATGATTATGTACAAAGACAGCAGAAGGAAATAGGCCACAAAAGCTGGACTGGTGAATACATTTCAATTGTTTAATATTAACCCTCCCCTATCCCTAATAGCACGGCAAGCCGATTCTGATTGAAGTCAATGACCGTTGGGACCCTGATGACTGGACATTTTCGGATGTTCGATGACTGATTTGGATGGAACCATTTTTTCATATTCACGCAAATTGCTCCTGCTCTCACTGTACTTCTCACCGTAACTCGGTCACTACCCACGAAACCTACAACCCAACAGTCCCTCAGCAATTGTTTCGTGGGCATTGAAGGGAGGCAGTGATTAGCTACATATTCTTACCCTACCCACACTCTACTTTTCCTGTTGGGTTGTAGAGTATCATGTCCTCAGAGGAAGAAAGCCCAAGAAAGATGAGACCAAGGCGGTCGGCTAAGAACCCCTACGATGATGAAATATGGGACAATGAATTGGACCTATCAACGACATCAGTAGGACTGTTAATTACATTATTTTCCGTTGTTTACAGCACTCCCAATCAGAAAACACGGAATCAAGGTCAACTTTGCCATTGGTGGCGTCACCAAAATCCAAAGGTATTTACCTTTCATTCTACTATGTCGTTCGTAGGGCATAAGAAGAGTACGGCCGGGCGGAAAAGGAGACATCTGTCCTCCCGCGAAATGTGGGGGAAATTTAGAGCCGTTCTACAGTGGATGATAGAGAATTGTAAAGAAAATACTAGACGGCTAGAGCGGATTGAGCTGAAGTTGGATGCCCAAGCAGGACGAGCGAGTGCAGCAATTTCTTTATCCACTTCAACGTCTGTGGCTCCACCTTTCAGACGAATGGCTTGCATAAGCGACTTCGAAAAATTTACGAGTAAATTGTCAGACGCAGATTTTCGGCAGCAGATGGTAAGTTTCTTATGACCTTCTGATTTCTCGGATAGGTTAGTCACTTAGCAGGTTTTGGAGGGCAGACCTTGGGCGCATTCGTCGACCGAGTTTTCAGCGCCCTTTTTGAGGACGAAATAACGCAGCACTTAACATTTTACGGACGACAACATGGAAAGAGCGCCTTCTTTGGCTCCCCTGCATAATATTCCCAATGAACAACCGACTAAATAGATGTCTTCAATAGGTGGGATGCCGATCACAGTTCATATCGGCATGAATTAGAGAAAAGCTTTCGACTCGTGTTCAGAAGGGCCTATGATCGGCTACAAAAGAGGACAAGTAAACTATCGACGTCACGCCCACTGGACGGTTAGTTACCTCTTCATAATCAGACCTCATGCAACTATTATTTACATTACCCAAATTAACTTGAGTGCACTTTTTTTAGACACTGCCGACGATGCGAAAATACTCCTCGTCCGGGACCGTCAGGCTCTTCTTCGCAGCCTTAGAACGGCCTGTTATGACCAAATTAACTAAGACATTAATACTTTTTTTACATAATATCTAATTTGTACCAGATTTCTAACACTTTTAACTAGATACCTATTTTGCACATATTATTTTTTACAAAAAATTTAATAACCAACAGCCACATTACTCGCCTTCATTCCCACTACTTACGGGAAAGTAGATTAGCATTATGGGCATGAAAATAGGGGAAACAGTCTAGGAGTGGGACTATTGAGAAAATAAGGGGGGGGGGGGTTCTGCACGGTTACGACGCGAGATTAGAATTTTCGGCGCAGATTCTGTGCCGAGCCGGGATTAGGATGACTAAGGCGAACTGACGATAATAAAATTACGTATGTGTATAAGAACAAGTAACCGCAGCCTGCGCAAGGCCTGACGTGTCGTTATCACCGATTTCGGAGTTTATCGAAGAATAGATATCTAATGGTAGGGGTGCTCGCCTATCGTCCTTACGGAACTCACTCGTTCCGTTGTGCCTCACGGGCTCTCTCTCGAGCCCAATCAGCAGCGGCGCATGATAGAGGCAGAATGGCATTACCGGCAAAGACAAGGGAGACTGGCATGGCCATTTCTGGCTTATTAGCCGTCGTTTTGCCTATATCATGCGTCGCTGTGTGGCTGCTGGTTGGGCTCGAGAGAGAGCCCGTAAGGCACAACAGAGCGAGTGAGTTCCGTAAGAACGATCGGTGAGCGCCCCTACCATTGTATATTCCCGATCCAAAACCGACAAGGCAACGGGCTCGTGGCTCAGTGGTTAGAGGCGTGGACTTCTAGCTACCAGGTCGCGAGTTCGAGCCCCGGGCGTTCCACACTTCGGGGTTGGATATGACTGGCTGACGACAGCTAGTAAGCCGGAAATGACCATTCCAGTCTCCCTTTTTCTTGTCGGCAATGCCATTCTGCCCAAATAGATGTCTACTCGATATCTGGATTGCGGACAAAGTCGATACCTAGTAGACATAAGCATCTCGGAAAATAGATATCGTTCCAATATAGTTTGCTACTAGGGTTGCCGTGATCGGTACAGAGATGTATTTTGCGCCCGACAGCGTTCGTGCGTCAGCTGGAAGGTCCGGCAACCACGGTCTCAAAGCCTTTAGCAGGTCGTTCAAGTGGAAATGCGGAGTTTTTGAGCGTAAAGCCTACATGCGCAGACTTTCACGTGCGCTTGACTCCTCCTCCTCCTCTACTTCTGGCGTTGAATCACCTTCTTCGTACGTGGACGCTCAGGGAGCCACCAACGTAGAAGAGTGTTCGTGCTCGAACGAAGTTGCGGAGTCAGATGCGGCAGTGAAACTGTCCGACTAACTCCAAGATGAGGTGCCCAACGACGACATTTCCCTCACCTCTTCGCAGAGTTTTCGTGTTACTTTTTCTGTTTCACTACGTGCTTGACGCCGGATATTACGCCTGCCAACATACTTGTCAGTAAAAGGCGACAAAGTCGAACACAAAGGCAAAGATGGGTCAGGCAGGCAATGAGAGCGTTGAGGCAGGCACGGCGTGCGCACCGCGACGTGAGGACTATCGGGCGCAGAAGCAAATCGATTATCAATGCAAGAATACGCAGCCGCTTGCGGCCTTCGCGACGCCGGCGCAGCCGACCTAAGAACCAATCAAATCGCGAGCTGGCTAAAGATCCACTACCCCCCTGGAGTATGCGAACTCGCTTGCTATTTGGGAAACTGCATTGAAAAATGCATGACCGCCATCAAAGGAAGTGCCACAGGGCTTCAATCAGCAAACAAACGCAAGGTAAATATTCATATATTCATGTTACTCTTAAATATCAATTGCCATATTGTGTTCACTTACCCTTGTGAACTCTTTCCCTTTTAGACCCACCTACAACAAACGAGGATCCATCGGCCAAACATGGAGACCAACAGCCTTAAGGCTTTACTTAATTAAAACAGTCATCAGATGCGATGTATTTTTTACGAATATAGTACTTTTTATCTTGACATGTGTTCCTTTGATTACTTTAATGGGCGATATTGGGGGAAATAAAAGGCGATGTGACAGTAAAATGGAGGGAGACCCCTGGGTGAGTAAGCGCTGGAGCTGGTTTTTTGGAGCTCGGGTCATGCTCTGAACGAGCTTGCAAGCTCCAATAGTGGTCGCGTACCTCGTGAAACGAGTTCTTTGCGAGCTCGTTCAGAGCTCATTTTGCTATTAGGGATATTCATGCTGTCCTTCGCTGTTTTGGGAACCAAGCGAGTTTACATGGATTTGTAGTCAGTGCCCGGACGGTCGGGCGGCCTATTTCGCGCCGTCAAATTCTCCTTTGGATCGAAATGTTACGCCCATGGCGAAAATGTTTTCCCACACTTCATTCTTCCCACCAGCTCCGGCAAAATTGGCACGTTTCCACGATCATCACTTGTTAAATTATTGATCGCATACCGGCAACATTGCCTGTCTGGAAAAAGCCTCTATGTTGGCATGAGAAGCGTGCTCTCCAGTTCCTTCTTCGTTTGACCCCTATGTGACTCTAACACAACCCACCCCGTTTGTGCGCGCATGTGATGGATCCGGATAGCGTGTGGGGCGCATAGGCGGTCTATGCAATTCTCTCTGCCACTGCCCCCAATCTCTGCATCAGATGACTGACCGGCTCGGACAATCGACTGCTGTCTGGGAGCGGGAAGAGAGAGTGAGAGGTCGACTCTCAGCGCATACTCCTCGCCTTAAACGATCTGGTGCACCTGAATGTACAGTAGGTGGGTTAACTCATGAAATGTCAACCGAAATTCCGAAATGCGTTCTCGTTTCGAAAAGATTAATTAGGTAGGGTTGTAAAACTACTCATCATGCAGCATAATCATATAATAATCCTGTTACTTCAATGGTGTCGGCTTTCGAATGAACTTATTTCTAACTGCATGCAGGAACTGTACTCTGAAAAAAATGACTACTTATGTAGCATGCAGTTTTCTCGTTGATTTTCAATCTCCTTGAAAATCCAATTACATTTCATCGAAAACGTGCATAAACATATTCATTCTTTTGCTCATTCGGTAGAAAATTACGTCTTATTCCAATATTATACTCGAAAGAAAGGTATAATTCGGTTTCAGAAAGTTTCTAATTGTGAGATTTTTTAATACCGCGAAATGGTCGTTGATAAAAGGTCATGTATCTGCATTTACGAATGTGGCTCGTAAAGTTAACAATATTGCTCAAATCCAGTGCTTAATTTTATGAACCCTATATAGTCTCCTCATAATACCGTAGAGAAATATACGGTTTTTCATACGCGGGAAATATACAGTTTGTAGTTTTGTAAACCTGAATGCAAGTGTAACAGCAGGTCGGGTTCAAAATTATTCGGGAATTAAGTAAGTTGATTTTCGATGCCACTAAATGTCCAATTATATTTCATGGAAAACATGCTCAAAAATATTCATTCCTTTGCTCATTCTGTAGAAAATTACGTCTTCATCTAATTTTATGATCGAAGGAGGGACATAATTCGGTTTTAAAAAAAGTTTTACAATTCCCGAATAATTTTGAACCCGCTCTACCTTCACCCTTGGATTCAGGGTTTCCAATTTACAAGCCGTATATTTTCCGCGTAAGGAAAACCACACATTCTGGTAATAAAGGGGGGCCATAGAGGATTCATTAAATTAAGCAGTGGATTTGATCCGTATTGTTAACTTTACAACTCACATTGGTAAATGCACAGATATGACGATTTATGAACAGCCATTTCATGGTATTTAATAGTTCCACGATTAGAAACTCTTTCTAAACCGGATTATGTTCCTTTTTCGAGTATAAAATTAGAAGAAGAGGTAATTTGCAACCAAATGAGCAAAAAAATGAATATTTTTATGCACGTTTTCCATGAAGTATAATTGAACGTTTAGAGACTTGCCATATAAGTGGTCATTTTTTACAAAGTATAGTTTTTACATGCAGCCAAAAAGATGTTCGTTCGAAAGCCGGAATCCTGAGGTAACTGAAATATTATAGAATTATGTTGCAGGTTGACTAGTTTTACAACCCTACTTAATTAATCTTTTCAAAACGAAAACGCATTTCGAAATTTCGGTTGACATTTCATGAGTTAGCCCACCCACTATACAGAAAGATATGTCCTGAAAGGCTGCCAGCTAACAGGACAACCCCATCCACCCCTTAGGATGGAGAGCCAGACTGCTGTGATTCCTTGCTAATGCGATCCCTGTGGCACTCCTCCCTCCCAGTTGAGATCTGAACCGTCCATCCCTCTTTTCCGCGGAAATCCGGTTCATCGTGTGGCACGCGCAGGCGGACTGTTAAGCTTTATCAGATCCCGTCTCTGGTCTTCTTGGCCCCATCTTCACACCGCATCCAGGCGCATGAGGGGGAAGTGTGCGATAGATGCTGCGCAAGTTCACTATCGCTATAAACCAGTTCGTTTGCCCTTCACCTTCCGCGCGCCAACCGGAATCAACGGTTGAACTCTCATGCCCCGACGGGCATTACTTTGAGGATCATGCTAAGCCTTCGGTGTTGCCAATCGACGCTTGCACACAGATGAGTGGGAGAGCAAACAGAGGTCGATCCGGAGGCTGTCTCAGGTCACTATGTCACATGAGTCTGCTCTCAATCATGGATTCGAGTGTGAACTTGTGGCGGTCAAGGATGTGAGATCAACTTAAACCACACACAATAAGTTTGTTTCGTCTAATGCCAGCAGTCAGGGAGCTGTGAGGAGTAATCTATTCTGTACACAGGGCAGGTTGCCGTAAGTTGGCTGTTTACTTGCAACAGAGAGAAACGTCCGTTCACGGAGCGCGTCAGTCGCGGTGTGTTGGTTACGCGGGAGTGAGTGTCATGGTCAGCAGGAGGGGGTGACTGGCTGAGTGCTGGTCATGAGATTGGACGGATTAGAGGGACGCATAATCACAGGGGTTCGCGGGTATCTAGCCCGGTCGTTCGACGCGTGTGAGGTGATGATAGTTTGTGAGGGCCGCCGGGAGTCACTGCAGCTGGATAGGAGGGGCCCCAGTTCTAGCCGGCGGGGGTGGTCGTGTGTCAACGGCCTGTCAACGATTATCGCGGTCATCGACCGACAACACGGAGCCGGAGAAAAGGGGGACTGCAGCGGTTGCTACAATCTCAGGCTTTTCTGTCACATACGCCTCTTTAAAAAAACATTTGATATTTGGCTTCTGGGTATTCAAAAAGGAAGCTTTTTCAGCTACTCCCCCAGCATAAATGCAGGCTAAGCGACCTTCAGGACTGTTTGGTAAGCTGAAATGGATTTTGGATTCCATGTGAGAATGTATCTGTATCGCAACACGCGCGCCACGAACAGACCTTGAAGTCTAGGTCGCCTAAAACTCCACAACAACGGAAATTATTCACTGAAGCATTTCGCTATGCTGTCACTTGGACAGGATCGCCTGAGTTCGGTTGAGAAATGAATTGCATTTTGCGTAACCCCAGGTTACTTCAAACGCTGAGGAAAGCTAACTCCCTCGGTGATAAGGGTACCCAAGTACGATGTAATTCGACGGTCGCCATGAATGACTGAGCAGTCTATATTTTGGGGCATCGCTGCTAACGCCCTTGTGGAGGGTGGAGGCTAGAACATGTGTCTTAAAAATGCTAATATCACAGGTCGTCGGAAAGCTGACCAGGAGTTGTGGATACAATGTACGCAGTCGAAACACAACAACAATCACCTCCCAATTACTACCTATTCTCACAGGCTGCTGCCTACAATGTGGATGATGGAGTACCGACAAGTCCAGGGAGAACGGAATGGCTATTTCCTGCCTATTAGCCGTCATCAGCCGGTCACGCTCAATCGAAAGTGCGAACCCCCTGGGATTCGAGTCTGGGATATTTGGCCACCGAGTCGAACGCTCTACCAATGAGCCGCGGGGTCGTTGGCCCGTCGGTCGTGATTGCAAATAATGTTTATAATGAAGTGACCCTCACCTATCAAGTTACCGGACATCCTCGTCCCGTTGTTAGAACGTCCAACTCAATGACCAAATATCTGCGGTCCGAATGCCAGGTGGCCCACACCTGGGACTAGGTATGACTGGCTGATGACGGCTAATAGGCCAGAAATAGCCATTCCGGTCTCTCTGGTTTTTGTCGGTACTACATTACCTACATGTGTTATTACTCGTCATATGACTGCCTGCGAGGATTTGAGATTGGGCCCCAACGCACAGTGGGACAAGCATGTCCTGTAACTTGATCGGTGAGTGGCACTTCATTATATCCACAATGCCTTTCGAATTTAATAAGAGAGTCCCATCTGGAGACCAATGCAGACCCCCTACCGTCCTTGAAGGAGACCCGTAGATCTTTACGAGAGACGCACAGACGCGTATTAGCGGTTCGCGCACTTGTAGTGGTTCTACTCCAGGCGCCTGTTGCAACATTACGCCCCTCGCGCGTTCATGCACCCGCAGTCTCGTTCTCAGTCAGTCACAGCTGGATCAGACCAGCCAATCAGACCGGCCAATCAGCGTCAAGGTCGAGACAGACACGTCCTCGCTCAAGGAGCTATGACAACTGTAGTATGTTATTACCGACAAAGACAAGGGAGACTGGAATGGCCATTTCTGGCTTATTAGCCGTCGTCAGCTAGTCATACCCAACCCCAAGGTATGGAATACCTGGGGCTCGATCTCACGACCTGTTGGTTAGAAGATCACGCCTCTAACCGCTGGGCCCGAGCCCGTTGCCCTGTCGGCTTTCGATCGAGAATATACAATGATAGGGGGCTCTCACCGATCGTTCTTACGGAACTCACTCGTTCCGTTGTGCCTCGGGTGTTCCACACTTCGGGGTTGGGTATGACCGACTGACGACGGCTAATAAGTCAGAAACGGTCATTCCAGTCTCCCTTGTCTTTCGCTGTAATGTCATTTTGCCTATATTATGCGCCGCTGTGCGGTTGCTGGTTGGGTTCGAGAGAGAGCTCGTAAGGCACAACGGAACGAGTGAGTTCCGGAAGAAGGATCGGTGAGCGTCCCTCAATCTAACTCGGGGAGCCGGACGTGTGCCTCCGTCCGGCTGCCAACTTTTTTCAACCAGTTCTCCTATCTTTGTGTACTGAATGCAGCACTCCCTCAACTGGCGTCTAACTCCCTTCTATTCAGGACCGAGCCTGAAGGTCATAGGGTCTACAGTCCCCCTGTGACTTAACTTGCCGCAACGCGCTTACTGTCTTTGTCCATACACATGACATCCTCAAGGTCATCTTGAACCTTCAGGGATGGTAGCGGACGCAAGAATAGAAATCCAAACCATTCGCGTATTTAGGCCAATGCTCATTTTTGGCTTTCGGACACCTGGAATTCATGGGGCGTTTTCACTCCAACCAAATGCTCATCCGACATAAATTTTGCTTCTGATGGCTCTGCGGCTCTCTGGAAAGCTGAAATGGCCTCCGCCTTCCTTGTAAGAATGTACTAGTCTTAGGATGCGCATAAAATTGACATTGCTGAAACCCTGTGGCGGTCAAGGATGTGAGATCAACTTAAACCACGCACAGTAAGTTCGTTTCGTGTAATGTCAGAAGTCAGGGAGCTGTGAGGACTAGATTATTCGATGCACAGGGCAGGTTGCCGTAAGTTGGCTGTTTGCTTGCAACAGAGATATGCGTCCGTTCCCGGAGAATGTCAGTCGCGGTGTGTTTTCGCGGGAGTGCATGTCTGTGTCCGCAGCAGAGGGTGACTGGCTGAGTGTTGGTTGTGTGATTGGACAAATTAGGGGAGGAATAGTGGGGCGCATACTCACAAGGCCTCATGGGTATCAAGCTAGGGCGTTCGACGCGCGTGAAGTGAAGAAAGTTTGCGAGGTCAGCCGGGAGTCACTGCAGTTGGATCGGAGGCGTCCCAGTGTTAGTCGGCGGGGGTGGCTGTGTGTCAACAGCTGTCGCGGCCATTGTTCGACAAAACGGAGCCGGAGAAAAAAGGGGGACTGGTGCGGCTACTACAACCCCACAGACATGAAGAACGCGGACAGAAGTATTTTACTATATTCTCACATGGAAAGGATCTAGTGAATACGGTCGCAAACGTGGTTCCACTGCCGTTGCTTCAAACGCTTCCGGCCACTTTGCTCGTCGTAACTGGCTCGCTAAATCTCCAAGTCTCCAGTTGGAGTATTCGTTTCAGACAAGGGTTAAGTATACGCGCGGGGTAAGGAAAAACTATGGGGAACTGCCACCGAGGAATCGGTGGTGCTGAAATGTCTAAATCGGTTCATCGTTCTACACCTCCCTCCCCCCTAGGTAACTCCTTTTTTAAGAGGGAAGCTTGTTTTTTAAAAAACGTTCGGCACAGATAGCATTCATGTGGAAAAAGTACTCGAAATACCGTCAGATGGAATGCACACGTCTGTTAGTAAGGCAGGAGCATTAAGACGCTGTTAGCACTTCCTCTCTGAAAACAATCCCACACATGATCCCCTGTCTGTCACCCTCACAAATATCCAACAGGACAGTAATCGAATGATAATATGGCCAGATCTCCAAACAGTTTATTCGCATGATATAAAAATAGGGAAATTTCCAATCGCTATCGACGATTGTAGTTCTTACATAAGTTTTGAGCTGTAGATCAGGGAGTGTGAAGCTGGTGGCTGCCGCCAGGAGGTGAATTGTTCTTCCAATTTCAGTGAGGAAAAAATCACGGTCAGCAAATGCGTACATTTTCAATCAAGTCAAAACAGTCGCTTCCGTCAACTGAAACAAAGTCCCGTAGTCCGTTCGGCCTGACAGTTATGACCTCATTGGGTTGAGCATCGACAACTGCGTGGGTGGAGAGGAATCAGCGGCCTGGATGATGCAAATGGCAGATTGTGAAGGCGCTTCCCATTGGTGGAATTCATCACGTAAAACGTACCCGTTGTACGCCTATGAGCTATGGACTGCAACCCATTCGCCAGTATATCAACCGAACAGGGCTTCAAGGTGAGTACCGCCGAAGTTTATAATGCAGCATCCACTTGACAGGTTGCCATTCAAACGAGGGCAGCGAGGAAAAGGCTGTGTAGATATTTGTCGCGTCTGGACCAGTCAAATTTCGACCTAGCCCTTCCACAATTCGCTCTCAACAGTCCCATCGTCGTATTGCTAGATGATGACTGGATGGACAAGAAGCTGGCGATCGAATAATTGCCATGGCGGTCGACTGACTCGATGACGGAACTCGCCTTCTGAAATGGAGGGCCCTTGCGCGGAGAGGGAATAAGAAGTTTTCTCAATGCATTTGTCAGCATGCCTCTGGTGAACGTGGTATCAGTGGACATCAGCGATCAATGTCTCAATCTGTCGTTTACCTGTTCGTAGATTGGCCCGCTCTTGTCCCAGCGATCGTGTCTCCTTCTTCAAGACTACTTCCTGGAACTCGTCTCTTCGCTTCTATTGGCAACACTTGATTTCTTGGGTGCCTTTCTACCGACCCATGAAATCTGCTGCCGTCATGTAGAAACCCATTTTTTCTGAAATCTGCGGAAACCGCAAACATCCCCTGCACTTCTCTCTATCGCAAAAATGCAGGAAAGGATCCAACTTTCGCGTCCTGAACTTGTGGTTCTTAATTGGTCAAGGGTACATGCCGACACCAAAAAATAAGTGGAAGTGCTATTCCCTATTTCCATGCGCCAATTCCGTAGTCAGAACAGACACGGTTTCGGTTGCTGATCTGTTCCTGAACAATAACAAGCGTAATACAAACGTCCAACAAAACGTTCACTCACATCGTCCAGTGATGAAACACACCGCCTGGCGTAAACGGCAGATCCCGTGTATGATGTAGACTCAGGGTTAGACGACGCAGTACGGGTGGATGGCGACTTCCAAGGTTGGCAAGATAATAGGTCATGCTGTGACTCTGAGCACTGAAATCCACTGGAACCACATTCGCCAAGGGCTTGCTGAAAAATTCATTCAATAAACTCTTGATTCCCTCCCCATGCACGGGCCTCACCTTCCAAGGGGCATGCTCTGTCTCCAAGTCACCCGACCGCCATAAAAGTTGCCTAATCGCAAACTTATTTTTCACCCGGTTGTCATCGAGAAATACGACGATGGGACTGTTGACGGCGAGAGCCGGAAAGGTTAAGTCAAAATGCGACTGGTCCGGCCACGATAAACATTTGCGCAGTCGTTTCCTGGCTGCCCTCGTTCGGATGGCAATCCGGCCTATAGAAGGTGCATTATGAACATCAGCTGCGCTTGCCATTCCAGAGCGCAACTTCCGACACCGAGTCACTCGACCGCTGAGGCAGTTCCTCATTCGTCAGCTTATTTTGTGCGCAGATGTCACGTTTAAATACGGTCGCGGTGTTTCTGAGGGCGGATTCAGAGAAGAATAAGTCCAAATTCGGTGAGTCCAGAAATGGTAGATATTTACGCAGTCGTTTCCTCACTGCCCTTGTTTGAATTGTGGTCTGACAAGTGGAAGGTCCATTATAAAGTTCAGCAGCACTTACCTTGACGCATTCTTCGGCTGACATACTGACAAACTGAATGCAGTCTGGTGTTCACGCACTGACGCTTTCCACGCGATGAATTCCACCAATGGGGAGCGTCATCACCATCTGCATCTGCAGTTACCTAGGCTGACGAGGTCTCCTTATCCAATCAGATTTTGGACAAAATGTTGGCTGTTAGCGCAGGCGGTTTAGCGTGACCTTGAGGATGCCACGCGTTAGAACAGGCGCGGTACGTATAATCTACTCATTCCTCCTGGTAGGGGAAGCTGCAACAGAGTTTGTCTGGAGCGAAGGAGCATTGCGCATTTATTCAGCCTTTGACATTTACAGCCAAACGCATGCTCCGAGAAATAATACAGAAAGGATCAAGGACGGCTACCTCGATGCATCCACTGTAGTATCATGACGTTCGAAAGCGTTGTCTGACACTGGTCAGAGTGACAGAGTTCCATGTCAGCGGATGTACCTCACAATGCTGGGACATATGGTGGTCATTTCTTAACTTAAGATACTATCATGGCCAGTAGTTTGACGATGGCATCACACGGATAAATAGTAGGAGAAGTAGACACTTCCAAAACGAAGCTTGTAGATGAAAAATTCTGGGTAAAAGGTGTGAACGTGCCAAGTCAGCAATCAGCAGTTTTATTTGACCCAGATCTATGCCTATGCAGCGTCACAACACCCTACGTTTATCTTTCTGTCGATTATTCTGTCTATCTGCGGTCTCTCGAGGGACGAAGATGTTTCGTATCCAACACCGAACACAGGGCAAAGTCGCGGGTGTGGAGCTTCTTAAAGCTGCTATGCTGGACACTCCACCGGAGAAACTCTGTGGTCCCATGCCCCCTGAACTTCCACCTCTCATACACCTCGTATACTCTCTCTCTTCCAATGGTAGGGGGCACTCACCGATCGTTCTTACGGAACTCAGTCGTTCCTTTGTGCCTTACTGGCTCTCTCTCCCTCTCACGAGACCAACCAGCAGCCGCACAGCGGCGCATGATATAGGCAGAATAACATTACCGACAAAGACAAGGGAGACTGGAATAGTCATTTCTGGCTTATTAGTCTTCGTCAGACAGTCATACCCAACCCCAAGTGTGGAACACCCGAGGATCGAACTCGCGACCTGTCAGTTAGAAGTCCACGAATTCCGTAACACGATCAATGAGGGGCATCTACAATTATATATTCCCGATCGAAACCGACGGGGCAACGGGCTCCTGGCCCAGTGGTTAGACGCGTGGACTTCTTTCTAACAGGTCGCGAGTTGGAGCCTCGGGTGTTCCACACTTCGGGGTTGGATATGACTGGCTAACGACGGCTAATAAGCCAGAGATGGCCATTCCAGTCTCCCTTGTCTTTGTCAGTAACGCTATTCTACTTTCTATCCCCCCATGCCTGCAGCCTCCCACTGTAAACCGCCCATCAGTCTCTAGCACTCTAGTCCCGGAGCGCTCTCACGCTTCTCCTGCTCCCCTGCATATATCACTCACAGTGGAAGTCATGCTTACTATCATGACCGTTTGATTACTCGTGTCTTTTTAAACATGAGCAAATTCCCTTGGCGTCGCTGCGCGTCGCACCCAGCCTATCCTGAGGGTACGGTGGCAGTCCGTGATCGCCATTGCTGCCGCTCTGTCATATAGCCTCACTGTTCACCCCACCCCTCCCCCCGGTCGATCCGCTGCCAGGACCGCGTTAGACTTAATACCACCCTCACAAGTGCTTGAAGTCAATCGAGGCTGCTCCTTCGCTCATTGACTGTAGGTGGACACGGCCCAGACAGAGCGAAGAAGCGCACACACCCGGAGGTCTAGGGACTTCAACGACTGACACTCCCGGACAGAGACCTGAAGAGACGGCATGTGAGCCACCCGTATGCTCTTTCGCATTAGTAAAGTCTGTGCAACCTTCAGAAGACGAAGATGCGATCACTGGAACAAGAAATTTATTGGCCTAACGTTTCGGATTCTCACTCGTACTCATCATCGCAGATAAAGGTAGTGGAGGCACAAAGACTGCAGTATTTATAGTACGTAGCAGCCGTGGGACCGTATGCGACATATGTCAGCCACCTGCGCCCTCCTCCGGCTCCGGTCCTCTTCATTCTGTCATGACACCAGGCCCAGGAACAGGGTAGAGTGCGGTGGCTGCATTGCAAGTCTACTCCCATTATAAACAAATTCGCAAGCAATTTGCCGTCCCTGCACCTACCCTGCTGTGGAGCACAACACGGTGGGCATCGTCAGAAACGACGGTCGGACTGTCATGCTAACAGCAACGGCATTTGGACCTGGCATGCAATGCCCAGACGAATTTGGGTCGGCAGGGTATCCGACGAGCCACCACCACCAACCTGCGCTCTGAGTGCCGTTATTATTAATTCATAACCATACCAGTGACTACCACTTAGCATGCAGTGGCAAACCGACTTTTGGTTGACGCGCCTTCAACCCAGTTGCCACCATCCTCTGTTTGGAGCAGTGGTCCTATTGATTTGTGATTATGCGAGTAGTTATTACCGGCAGTGTTCGAATTAATCATATCGCCGGTTTTAACGCCCAACAAACAATGGCAAACCGACTTCTTGGGAGGTAGCGTGTCTGTGCCAGACTTCAATGTGATTACATCCACGAATTCCGGTCAGGGACCCATAGCTCGGGTGGTTAGAGCATTGGCTGACCATAAGCTCTGCCTATGCTGTCGTGAGTTCGAAGCTCACCATGGCTCCGAGTTTTAGCAGGTGGGTCAGGGCACTAGGAGTTAATTGGTCAATCCAGGCGACTGTGATTGGCCAGTTTGAATGGGTCAGCCTGGAAAATTGTGATTGGCCGGACATCATAGAGGACCTCGTGATGTTGGGGATTTGCCGACGGGATGTGGGGCGTCAAACAGAGCCTCGTGGCGTTGGTGCGCACGTGAAAACAAGCCAGCAGGTGGTGATATTAGGGTCAGTACAGGCGAAGAGCGATGAGGACGCCCCACACTTGTTCCGAGTTGGATAGTAGTCATTCATTCTCCGAGTCCCATCACCTGGCATCCCAAACGCGGGCTCCGATTTCACAGAAGTTAGGGCTGCCATGAAGGTCACACTGAGGAGGAGCCGTTGTAGTCCGACCGTTGTTTCAGAGGACGGTCATGTTATCTCATCAGTAGCCAATCGCCCAGGCCAGGTCTTCTATGTCGACAGATCTATTATAGTGAACAATGTTCTGGTGGTTAGACGTGCTTAATGCTACCTCAGAGGATTTGCTCATGCATGGTTTCTGCTCATTAGGCCTCCGCATGTTGGACGGACACAAGCGAAGTGACTGTCGTGTATTTAAACAGACACGTCGGACGCCCCGATCTGGTTCAATCCCCCAGTCAGCTACGGTTGTAGAAATGCAATCGCCGAGAACCTGAGGCGCGAGCTTGCGACCTGTTGTTTACAAGTCCATCGCCCTAACCACAGCTCCACGGCGCACTGCACCCACTCGACCGACGACTTCAACTCGGACGCACCTGCGTCCACGCAGAGTCGTAGCTGCCCGTGAGCCACTTGAACTCACCACCCCGCCCCAGCAAATACACTGCGTGACCGATCTCATGAAAGGTTGGCCAAAATTCTGGAATGCGTTTCCCATTACGAAAGATTACTTAAGTGGGATTGTTATAGTGATTATCATGCAGAATAACCCTATAACATTTCGGACTCGCCAGGATGTCGGCTTTTGAATGCACTTCTTTTCGACCTCCTACAGAAACCAGACTCGGTAAAAAATAACTTCTTATGTAGCATGCATTTTTCCTATTGATTTTCGATGGTCTTATAAATACAAATATATTTTATGAGAAACATGCGCAAAACTATGCAATATTTTGCTCATCTGATAGGAAATCACATTGTCTTCATATTTTATGCCCGAAGAAAGTATATATGTTGGTATTAAAAAGGTTTCTAATTAGGAGCTTTTTAGGACCGTGCGATGTCTATGCATGCAAGACCGCACATGTCCGTTTACTAATGCTCCTCATGACATGTACAACACAGTCCGGATCCATTGTAAAATTTCATGAACTCTATGTAGTATCTTCTTAAAGGCATAGAGGAATATATGATTTTCCGTAAGCGGGAAGCCTGCGCTTTGTAGACTGAAATTGCTAAACGCTGATGCTATGGCAGACCAGGCTGAAGATTATTCGGGAATTGGGAAATTCCGTTAAAACCTAAATATACACATTCTTCGGGCATAAAATATGCAGACAATATGATTTCCTACCAAATAAGCAAAAAAAATCATATTTTTGTGCGTGGTTTCTGTAAAATATGTTGGGATTTATAAAACCATCGAAAATCATTAAGAAAAACGCATGCTACTGAAGTAGTCATTTTTTACCGAGTGTGGTTTCTTCAGGAGGTCAAAAAGAAGTGCATTCAAAAGCCGACATCCTGGCAAGTCCGAAATGTTATAGGGTTATGCTGCATGATAAGCAGTATAACAACCCCACTTAAGCAATCCTTCCTAATGGGAAACGCATTCCAGAATTTTGGCCAGCATTTCATGAGAACGGTCACGCACTGTACAACACAAGTCGCTCTACAAATCAACGTGCCAACCTCACACCACTTCAGATTGCCTCAAATACCTATAAAGGCAGCCACCATCACTGTCTCAAGGACTCTCAGACAGGACTGGATGCAGTCAACACCAACCCTGGCTTCGCCAGTGGCCACTGCCACCTGATAGGGTTTCTGTATGCAATAAACCCCACATTCTGGTGACTTCAGTCATTTCCTACAACACAGGATTTGACCTGGTGATTGTAGCGCTCTCATTGCCTAGGCACTACAACATCACCAACTGCCCGGCTGACCAGTTCGAATGCGACCGGATATCAGCTAGACTAGCTTAAAGTCTACCGGTATTTATGAGACATGCAATGAGAAATGGTTAAGAAAGGAGAAGTACTAATAGAACAAAAGACTAATCAAAGAAGTGAAGGGGGTACTATCTGACATTTTCTGAAATTTGCGCATACCAGTGCAAAAAACCTATGTGAGCTATAGAAAGGGGAAGCGGACGCGAGAACAGTTCATGTATCCAACCCAGAGTACTGAAAATAGTTGAGGACACATTGGGAAAAGATCCGCCCACTGCACGGTACTCACTGGCACAATGTCAACCGTCTGGCCACCCGCCGACCGACTGCAAATCCAGGTTCGTTCGCGCAATTCCCAAACCAGAACAAGCCAGCGTAGACAGGACATACTTGCAAACACAGCCTCCACGTGCTCCCTCTCCAACCTGGGTTCACTGGTGGTGAGATGCAGAAGGATATAAGATGCCTGCAGGCAGCCGGCAAGGGCAGATAGATGCTCAGTAGTTAATGTGCCAGTAAGTAACCAGTGGAATATATCTAACCTCCAGGGCAAAACCCTCCCAGTCATCCAAGCATCTCCGTAGCTGCCTGAATAACAAAAAAGTGTTTTCAAGCATGGACAAACGCTACAGAAATCATCGACATTCGTCCTCAAAAACCAATATTCCACGTGTATCTCAAGGTGTCGAAGGGATGGAAACATCTCCAGAAACGGTTGAAGCTCAACAGCCTGAATGCTTGGCACACCGATGAGGCCGCTATTCAGGTCATCTGACGAATAGGCCACTAACTCACTCACATTGGACAGTTGACCACGAAGGCTCATAATCTGTCTCAACGCCTGCTGATCTTTGATGCAACCAATAAGTAACTCCGCTGAGATGTCCACTGAGGTGAGTGTATTCTTTTGGGCAGTCAAAAGGGGTAGGAATTTCAACCTGGCCACCGTTCCAAAGTTCTGGACTACAGTTTCCCTATGGGGTCTCTTCACTGAAGTCAGGGCGCATCGAAGGCCGGAAATTCCTACATCAGCCCTCAACATGATCTCTTCAATGTCACTCTTTTCAAGGGAAACGCCTCCACGACGCCGACGACGACGATTATTGATGATCGGTTCAAGGCAAAATTCCAGGTGAACTGCCTTGAGGGAGAGCGGAACAATTCGGTCATCATTGAGATAGAGTTTGCTGCAGCCCATGAACCTCACCCCCGAGGGACATGCAGAGACGTCATCAGAATCTGTAAATGTCAGACTCTGGCCACAACTGGCTCCACAATCATTTGGGTCATCGTTCCCAAAGCCACTTCCAAAGCCAAAGTGTACTTTAGCATTTGGAAAAAGTGAATTGTACTTCTTCTTCTTCTTCAGGTAGGCAGACACCTCGGTGCAATGAAGAACAACAAGTTCAAGACTCGGAAATTGGATTCCTTCACTCAGTTTTTTATGAGAGAAGAATTTGAGCGATGTTTGTAGTTTCCGAAGATGCTGGAAAGAAAAGTCTACTTTTGTGGCAGAGCAGCATATGCCAGAGATAGATAGACAGGTGCCCAACAAAACAAGTTGTCTAGTACTTCTGAGATGTTTCAACACTGCACGAAAACAGCTAAAACACCAGCGTCCAGCCACTTGAACAGTTGCTTCATCCAGAGACGGGAAACAACCCACCTCCGTATCAATACCCGCAGTTACAAGGACATCCGGCATGTGGTACAGACACAAACTTAGATGGCGCAGTCGGGGCAGATTCTGGTTTCTAAAGTAGGTAAAATAATCTGCCGTGCTGATACACTGATCACTGAAATACACCGAGACCACGTTCACAAAGGGCATGCTGATGAATTCATCCAGAAAACTCTTGATTCCCTTTCCATACACGGGTCCCTCATTCCAGAGCTCAAGTTCCGTCACCACATCAGGCGACCGCAATAGCACCTCCTCAATCGCCAACTTCTTCTCCACCCAGCTGTCGTCTAGGTACACAATGATTGGATTGTTTAGGGCGAATTTTGGAAGGGCCAGGTCAAAATTCGACTGGTCCAGAGGCGATAAATATTTGCGCAGTCGCTTCCTCACTGAGGTCGTTTGGATGGCAATCTGGCATGTGGAAGATGCATTACTAACGACAGCGGTACTTACCCTGAAGCACTGCTCGGCTGACATAGCGGCAAACCGGTCGTATCCCCTCGATCAGGCAAGAAACTCGCACTTGGTGAATGCGGCCGCGTCGGTGGTTCTGACCACAGTCACCAATGGGAGGCGCTCTTACTCAGCTACAGTCAGTCCGGCAATCGAGCCCTCAACTTCCAATCAGATCTCAGGTGTGGGATTGGCCGCCAGCACTGACGGCTTCGCATGACCTTGAAGGTTTCACGTGTTGGAGCAAAGACCGTAGGCGTTTGATTGCTGCCATGCCAGGCAAATGCACGCGTCACCAACATTTGAGCGTGCGACAGACAGGGGGCCGGCGTCGGTAAGTTTGTTCAATAGCAGCAACCCCTCGGGCACAGGAGAGTACGAAAAATTGCAATGCCTTCTGAGCAGTAAGTCAGGGAGAACAGTAGCCATTATGACTCAGGTCAATGGCTTGGTTTTCATTATGCACCGAAAAGTACATTTGGGCCTCAGGACTTAACTGCCAACGCTTCGGCGTACTTCTGAGTCAAGTGCTGACTCCTACCAATCCGGCGTAAACAATTAAAACAGGGGACTTGATGCGGCGTCCATACCTTGCCAAGTTGAAGCATTATGGAGGTTGTAGACAGGACAGATGGAATGTTGCGAATATTCCCATGTTACACTTGGAAATTCAATTTGGCAAACACGTGTTTTCGGTAACTTAACGTCAGTCCACGACGGTTACATAAAAATTAAAAATAAGAGAAGTTCACAGGGTTTATAAATGACTCGGGGGCTAATAACATTTATTGTGGCCACGCCACTCGCCCGGCGAAGTGGGCGTGTCATGATCACTGGGTTAAGGGAGAGGGGGGGGGAGGAGGAGGGCGGTGACCATCTGGGGTCGGCATTGGTCACGGAAGACAAAGCGCCTTTGTCAACGTCTGCTGGCAACATACACTAGATTTGCTAACCGTATAGCCACTATCTCGGTCGTAGCTAGCAGCCGTTGGCGTAGGCCTTTGGAGAAGTTTGCTGATGTCCGTTATAAAATATAGAAAGACTTCTTTGGCACTGACTCAGTGATTCCTATCGACTAGATGTGCGGGAATTGAACTTGAAATCGATTTGTTTTCATATCTACCTAGCCGGGCCGGTTTGTGTTCACGTCTTCTGTTTTCCAGGCACCTCGTTGTATGGTCAATGTGTCCCGTCCCACAGGAGTAAGTGAATGAATAAATGCGCATCGATGTGGCCTGCAAAGGTAGTCAGTCTTTACCTCCCAAAGGTAGGAGGGGAGAGTTCGTAAAACGATGGGAACAATGAGCGAGTGGTGCGGCAACGATGAGTGTTAATAGTTCCTGAATCAATTATAAACCCTGCGAACATCGCATATGTTCAATTTCTGTTTAACTGCATTGGCCTGACAGTGAGCTACCGAAAGCACATGTCTACCAAGTTGACTTTTCAAGTGTGACGTGGTACTATTCGCAGAACTTAGACAGTCGAAAGATCCCTTTGTGTTAAAGGAATTCAATGGATTCTTGAAGTTTGACACCAGGCTTGCGGAGGCACATATGACGACCTAATTCTTATCACGACGCATTGACGTGGGGGGAGGGGGGGGGGATATCCGAAACACTACTGGAAAACCTTGCAAAGAAACTACAACGACTACAGCGACATGCAAAGTCACCTTGAAACAGTTAGCGTCGGAGTTGAGGAACTGCAGCGGAACTTGTGCCATAGAGTAGCGGCCCTTGACCATCTTGAAAACTGAGAGAGACTGCCGTTTGAAGACTACGTGCAAACAGTAGAAAATAGAAGTATAGAGGCCAGGCGGACTAAGCTCCTACTAAGTGTCCAAGCAGTGAAGACTCAGACGACCCTTCCAAATAATCCGGAACGGTACGTTCATAACTGTTCCTCAGTACGACTTGATAAAACTCTCGTGGAGGTACTATCTCTTAGTCCTAAGTTTTGTAATACATGGCGGATGCCAAAGCAGTAAGAGTTAAGAATCCAATTCGAGAGTCCATTTTGTCAGACTACCGATCTAAGACCTAACGAGCCTAGAGAACTTGATTATATTAAGTAGACTATGGTTAATTGCTGCTAACAGTATTTAAGGAAGGCTCCAAACAACGAAGGTCCCTTGTCAAGGGCCCATCTTGAAAGCTCCAGGGAACTTCGCAAAAACAAAAATCTTATGCTAACCAGGCCGGATAAGGGTTCGGGAATTGTACTGGTGGATAGAAGGGATTACGTAGCGAAACTAGAGGCAATCTTGTCGGATCGTAGCAAATTCTCGAAGGCCAAGAAAAACAAGGGCCGCACCGAGGCCGTCGAAGTTCATTTGACGGTAGTCCTCATAAGGAAGACCATTTGTTCGGAAAAGAATATGAGCGACTGAGACCTGTGGGGACGACGATATCCAGAATGTACGGCCTCCCAAAAATTCATAAACACGAGCTATCCTTATGTCCACTCTTGGATTTGAGGAATTCGTCCTCTCGCACCGTTGTAAAACGCACAGTGGAAAAACTCAAATCCCTGCAAAATCATTTGTACCCTCGAAGTTTAAAGGACTCCTTTAAGTTTGCCAAGGCTATCAAGAATATTAACGCAGACAGACGGAGAATGCTATCAATAGATGTACCATCACTGTTTATTAACGTACTCGTGACAGATACAATAAACTACCTCTATGACGTTATCGGCAATACGGACTACCCGTTAGGCATGCCAGTGGGAACGTTAAAAGGAATTCAGATGAAGAAGAGGATACGACCACTGGAACAAGAAGTATATTAGCCTGACGTTTCGGGTTCTCACTTGAATTCATTATCAGAGACAGTCGCAGATAAGGGTAATGGTGGTACAAGGAGTGCGGTATTTATAGTACGAAGCTGCCGTGGGACCACATGCGTACTATAATCAACAGTCCTCGCGATCACCGCTGGGGGTCGTAATTGATGCGATGATGGCCTGTCAGTCTGCGTCCGAGTCGTTAATTGCCGCAATTTCGCCACCCCTGTTGTATGCTTGTGTGATGATTACTCGGCCATTTAGCCCGCCGCCCATGGGATTGTTGCTCGTCCGCGCACTCCTCACATGACTGACTCCCCTGCCCAGGGAAAATCTGAGCGCGGAATACGGTAACAGGAGGTCATTGCGCTTTTTGATGGATTGCGGGCCTGCGAACTGCAGCGTATCCTGCCCGGGCCGTCAGGACATCATGCCACAAACGCGTGACAAGCGAACGATCAAGGTCATGGCTCCCTGTTCACACCGTCTTTGTGCTGATTGACCACCCATCAGCCTATGACAGTCCCCCTTGCCATATACCCGACCGTTTCCACAAGCCTTCTCACTTGTGCTGTCTATCGTACTCAGTACACGTCCTATTTCCAATTAGCCTTCTGTTTCGCATGCATAACATTGACGACGCAGGTGCAGAATTTAAAGATTTCATGGAGAAAAATGGAATTAGACATTTAACTACTGCCCCGTACCACGCTGCTTCAAATGGCCTCGCAGAGCGTGCAGTCCAGACAATAAAGCACGGACTAGCCAGACAGACAGAAGCGGACTTGGCCACCAAGTTGTCACGCTTTCTGTTCAGCTATCGCATAACACCAAACGACTCAACGGGTGCTTCGCCTGCAGAATTGATGTTCAAGCGGCAGTTGCGCACACGACTCGACCTGCTTAATCCATCAACGCAGGATAGGGTCATTGCAAAACAGACGAAGATGAAAGAACGATATGATGTGAGCACCCGACCACGAGCCGTCGCGCCCAACGAAAGTGTCTACACGCGACTGGAACACGAAACGAACTGGTGTCCAGCGGTAGTTCGAAAAAGCGAGGGTCAAATAGTGGAATTAGAGTTAGAAGGTGGGAGAATTGTGCGTCGACATCTGGACCAAGTTCGCAGCCGAACGGACACAGTAAGTGGAGAATTCGGAGAGTTAGAACTGCCAGCAACCCTTGATAGGGATCCTGACATCCCGAGGACTGAGCCCCTACTTCCTGAACAGGGCACTACGCCATCCACCGAGGCTTATGTTCCACATCCTTCTACCCCGGCCAGCACTAGCTTAGGGGCAGAGGAGCCAGTGACTACACAAAGCGGCGCAGAGGTAGAAAATACCGCCCTGAGAAGATCGACCCGAAACCGCAAACCTGTCCAACGCTTTCAGGACGAATCTTATTAGAACATTGTCTGAAAATCCACTATTACCTATACTGTTCCCCACCCCTCCCCCTCATGCTCTCCACTTTAGGGTGGAGGGATGCAGCGTATCCTGTCCGGGCCTTCAGGACATCATGCCACAAACGCGTGACAAGCGAACGATCAAGGTCATGGCCCCCTGTTCACACCGTCTTTGTGCTGATTGACCACCCATCAGCCTATGACAGTCCCCCTTGCCATATACCCGACCGTTTCCACAAGCCTTCTCACTTGTGCTGTCTATCGTACTCAGTACACGTCCTATTTCCAATTAGCCTTCTGTTTTACATACATAACACGAAACATGACTCGAGCAGCTCGCGGCTCACACGGTTGTCACCCCTTGCGAGGATTTCGGCCTCTTTGAAATTGAAAATATGGCCGAGTCCCGTCGAATGAGCCGCCACCTGAGAGCTAACGTCTCCCCGCCGCACTGCTGCTGCGTGCTCAGCAATTCGCGTACGTAGGAATCTCCCAGTTTCTCCGACATAGTTGCTTTGTCCGCAACTACACCAGATCCGGTAACCGACTCCAGACGTTTCCTGCCGTGGCAGCGGGTCTTTTTGGCCTCATGACTTGGCGCATAATGGTTGCTTCCGTCCTGTGTGCAACCCCAAATCCAAGTGGAGTGAGAAGACGACTGACGGCTTCCAAGACGTTCTTCACGTACGGAAGAGCCCGCCAACGTATGGGACCGGTTGGATTTGGCCTCTGGTTGAAAAAGTTGAGCGGGTAACCATTGGCTCTCATTACCCGTCGATGATATTGTAATTCAGCAACCTTGTCTTCCATTTCACTGCAGTGCGTC